ACAGTACGTTAGTAGCTGACGGTCTATACAGTTAATCCAAACAGTATGGAGACAGACGGGGGAAAAACAAACACCCAAACCATAGCATGGCAAAGCTCGGAACCTCGCAGTGAGGCACAAAGGCTGGCTTGACAAACTGGAGTCTAACCCACGCCTCTTAGCTTCGATCTAGCGGCTGAGCACCTACATATGTTATATAAACAGTGAGCTAAAGCCCAGTGAATAACATTAATGCGTAAAGAGGTTATGAATGAATGTCCTTACAGTAATGAAATCAGTTCTATTAAACAATACTTCAGTCTTTCAGTCAGAACAGTTATTCAGTCATATGGGGTACATCCATTAGCATAGCAGTAAACAGTAGGTCTAAAGACGAACAGTAATGATGGCCATAATCAGTAACAGTAGTGGTTCCACGAGGGAACGACAGAAGATCTCTGTAACAGTAACAGTAAATAGTAGGTGCTAAGGATGCCACAATACAGTTCAGAAGATAGGACATACATTCATTCAGTAAACAATATCAGTTCAGGAACATGTTCAGTTCAGTATTCAGAAGATAATCATTTGAACATATCTTTACACAATTGTTACTCATAGAGTTTGGGCTACAGTATGCTAGAGCGTGTCTCCCCAGTCTGCCCAACCCTACACAGTTCACAGGTTGACACACACTAAGTTACACAGTTGGAAAGATAACAACTTAATCCCTAATGCCTCGTGTGTTCTACATCTATATCCTCAATAAGATGTCTTAAACTAGGCCTAAGAATGCCTTAGAATGGGATGAGGATGCAAAGATGCACATTTAAAAGCATTTCAGAAAAACAGAGTCCCGCTCGAGCGCAAGTTTCCCGCCTCGAGCGGTCATGCAACAAAGGTACACGCTCGAGCGTAAACTTTCCCGCTCGAGCGTACTGTAAAAGTACTGGATGTGTGAAATTCTCGCTCGACGCTCGCTCGAGCTTGAGACATGACTCCGCTCGAGCGCCAGTACTCCGCTCGAGCGGCGGTGAAATCTGGAAAAACCCAGATTGCACCTCCAGCTCGAACTCAAGTTCAAAATGCATCAAAAACCCAATCCTCTTGGGCCCATTTTCTGGAAAACATTTATAAACACATAGAATAACATGGTTCAAAGCTCAATTTGAGAAATAAAACCCAAGGGTGTTTAATTCAACTCAAAATTCAAGAACCATATGAACATGCAAACATGCATGAATTCAAATCATTTTGAAGCTTCAATTTATGCTCCAGGGAGCCAATTGATCCAAAAACAAGTTGAAAATATGACCATTACAAAATTATGAACATGCATGTGAGAATTATGAACTACAACCTCAAAACTTCAATATGTGTATATGCATGCAACAATTAAGCTTCAATTCAACAACAATGAACCAATTCTAGACTTAGTTCTACAATGAAGCATGAATCATGCAAGAACAACTCAAGGACACCATTAAGATGATGAATGATCTACCTTAGGTGTATTCAAGGTTTAGGAGCTAAATTAGTAATCAACCTTCAATTCTTCAAGCAATTCTAGCCAATTCACCATGAAACAAGTTGAACTCAACTCTTCTAGCTCCTCTCTCTCTCTAAGGTCGGCAAGAACAAGAAGAAGGCTGAGGAAAATGTTTTTAGCTCAAGTATAGTGAGCTCAAGGTGTAGAGGTGGGCCCACTCAAGGGCAAAACGGTAATTAAGTCCAACTCTTAATTAGCTTGTTTTAATCCAATTTAATCATACCTAATCAGTTTTCAAGTAATTACACCATAAACTCACATTGACTATGACGATCATAAAACATTAATCCATTCCAGTTCGGCCGCCGATAAGGCCTTCAATTAGCAGTTTAAACATTAAAATACGAACAGATCAAATAATTAATCAAACAGATAGAATGCAATTCAAACAGATGTATTCATTCAATTCAGTTTCAGTTTTGGTCAGGCAGTTCAGTACTTTTAAAATCAATCCAATATCAGTCATAATCAATTCAGTTTAACGGTAATCGATGGTTATCGGTAATCAATCAGTCATTAATCGGTAAACAGTATGAGGTTGTTACACAGATGTAGAGGCCATGCTCAAACAACTTCTCTCCCCTTCTGGTACACCTCCTCCTACTACTTTGTCTGTAACCCCAAGTAACTCTTCTTGGTATTTTTGACTCTGCCTGTTGAACATATGACCTCCAGTTCTACTATCTTTTCTTCCTTCTCCTCCTCTCCTCATCTTCCTCAATTCATACTGCTGATGGTTCCCTCATGCTGTCCGTCATATTGGTACTTTCCACCTCTTCTTTATCTATACCTAAAGTTTATCATATCCCTTTTCTCACCTTAAACCTTATTTCCATTGGTCAATTATGTGAACTTGGTCTAAATGTCACATTTTCTGCTACTGATTGTTTGGTACAAGACCCTCAGACGGGGCAGACTATTGGGATCGGCCGTAAGCGTGGACGTCTCTATGAACTCATTCACCTTCATGTTCTTGCCTCTCCTCAGATCGCTGCTCCTACATCTACTTCCTCATTATCTCCCTTTCATCTTTGGCATTGTCGCTTAGGGCATATTTCTGTTAATCGCTTAAAAGTCTTTGGTTTCTAGTGGACAGTTGGGTCATTAATTCCCGATCATTTCGATTGTATACCCTGTCAACTTGCCAAACAACCCTGCTTTATCATTTAATAAAAGTACTTCTGTTCCCTTGCACCTTTTGATCTTATACATTCAGATATTTGGGACTCTCCCCTACTACTACTATGGGGGGATCCCGCTATTTTGTTGTTTTTATTGATGATTTTTCCCGGTTTACTTGGCTTTTCTCATGAAAAAATAGGTCTGAACTTAAACACATTTATTATAGATTTGCCCAAATGGTCCACACCCAATTCTCAAAGCCATCAAAATTTTTCGCTCTGACAATGCTATGAATATCGGGATTCAGATTTCCTTTCCTTTCTTTAGCATCATGGTACACTGCCTCATCGTTCTTGTGCTGGCACGTCCCAGCAAAATGGCCCGCGCTGAACGGAAACATAGGCATATTCTTGACACTACTCGCGCTCTCTTTCTATCTTCTTCCTGCCCTGAAAACTTTTGGGGGGAAGCTGCCCTCACTGCTGTTTTACACTATCAACTGTGCTCCTACCCCTGTCATCCATAATCCAACTCCCTTTGAACGTCTGCATGGCACTCCCCCTCCTTACGCCAATCTCCGGGTTTTTTGGCTCTGCCTGCTTTGTTCTACTTCAATCCATAACACACCAAGCTTAAACCTCGTTCTCATCTTTGTTTGCTTTCTTGGGTATGGAATGAACATTAAGGCTTTCGCTGTTGGGATCCTCTCTCTCAACGCATTCGTATCTCCGCCCATGTCGTTTTCTGGGAACACCAAATGTTTTCCTCGCTATCCTCCTTTCACTTACCCGCACTTTCCACTCCTGTACTGTTTACTTATCCTTCCATAGATCTTTTATCTGCTGATTTGATACAGGGTTCCTCCTTCATCGAGACGCCCTTGCTCACTCCTGATCCCGTTCAGCCTGCTCTACCTGAAGGTCTACCTCTTATTACCACACCTCCTTCTCCACCGTTCTTCCTCCCACCGATCCTCCTACGGGTCGACACGCCGGGTAACTCAACCTCCTCTCCATCTTCGTGATTATATTGTTGGATCTGCTGCCTTCTCTACTTATGAACCTACCTCCTATCGTGAGGCTTGTACTAATCCTCTTTGGCAGCAAGCTATGACTGATGAACTCCAGGCCTTGGACAAAGCTCATACTTGGGATCTTGTTGATCTTCCTCCTGGCAAGATTGCGATTGGCTGCAATTGGGTTTACAAAATCAAAACACATTCTGATGGCTCTATTGAACGCTACAAAGCTCGTCTTGTTGCCAAGGGTTTCAACCAGGAATATGGTATTGATTATGAGGAGACATTCTCTCCTGTTGCTCGGCTTACCTCTGTTCGCAGTTTACTTGCTGTTGCTGCTGCTCGCCACTGGGGGCTCTTTCAGATGGATGTCAAAAATGCTTTCCTCAATGGTCATCTTCTTGAGGAGGTCTACATGTAACCTCCACCTGGGTCCACTTTTCCACCTCATCAGGTTTGCAAACTACGGCGTGCTCTCTATGGCCTCAAGCAAGCGCCTCGTGCTTGGTTTGCTACGTTCAGTTCTACCATTCATGACTTCGAGTTCACCTCTAGCCCCTATGACTATGCTCTTTTTATACGGACTACTTCTCATGGTACCACCCTTCTTCTTCTGTATGTGGATGGTATGATTATCACTGGTAATGATGAAGCTGGTATTCTCCACCTCAAATAGTTTCTCAACCGACAGTTTGAGATGAAGGACCTTGGTACTTAACTACTTCTTAGGACTTGAAGTCTCTCATGATTCTATTGGTTCCTATTTGTCCCAGGCCAAATATGCATCCGATCT